CTCGGTGCTGTGTGCTGCCTGCCTCTGTAAGGACGGAGGTGGCTCTCACTGAATGGCAGCTGCTCCCTTCGGTCCTCTATGAAAGTTAACTACAAAAAATTGTTTTGTTTTAGCACTGAAGGCATTTTCCATCTGCCAAATGTTCCTTCTGGGCACCTGGTGCTGCCTGGGGGAAGTGGGTAAACTAATTTCTCTCATTTCCTGTGCTTTGGCTGTAAAGTTGCCATGCGCATCTCAGAGGTAAAGTGATTTCCAGTGGAAATTGGTGACTTGAAATGTCCAGCGCTCTGGAGAATGACCTGGCTGACTGCAGGTGGCTTTTTCCAACTGCTGCTTCAGACCAAAAACCCCAGCTTAACTCTTTTTGAGCAAAGAGGATGAATGCAAAGGGAGAAGCCAAAATGAAACCTTGCAGTTGTACAGAGAAGTCGAGCAGAGACTGCCCTACACTTTGGATTGCTTTAACCAGAACCATGGCTATAGATGATGTGGATATAGCATTTTTGGTTACGTGGTTTATATAACAAAGGATTTTCTAATGAACTTCCCATTAGTATCTGGCTTAGCATCGTTAGCAAACAGAGAGGTGGCACCTTTGCATCTTGTGAACCAGTTATTTCAGTGCAGGGAAGGTTTTATCAACTAGCTGGGATATCTGAATGCCTGGAGCTCAGCACCTGATGGTTTTGACAAACCATTCTAGCATGGCTGGGAAGAAAATTGCATCCAAACCATCTTTTGTATGTCAAAGAATATGCCAAGCCTGCATGACTGCAAGTAGTTCCACTTGATGATTGGGCTAAATCACAAGCACTGTTCTGAATGCTTGGTGAGGTTCGAGTTCCTCATTGTTCCTAACCTTCCTTCGTCAGGCACGAGATATGGCTGTGTCAAAACTTCCATTACGTAAGGGGAAAATGCGCTGACTTAAATTGCCTTTGTTTCTGCGTCACAGAGCCACTCTGTATTTCTGTCCCTGAGCACAGCAGCCACCCCATGGCCAAGCTTTGCTGAGAACAGCAGCCCACGTTGCAGGGCAGTGCTTAGGCACTTAGTGCTTAGCCTTGCTGTGAGTTGTGAGTTTGAACTGTCTCTGGGTGGCTGTGCTGCGCACCTGCTGCCTGTTCCTGCCTCACTGCAGCTTTGCTGGGGCCTTTGCCTGTAGTCAAGGTGTGAAAGATGCTGAGGAACATGCTCTGGTGTTGTTGCTGCTGCTTTTTCTTTCTGAAGAGATCATAAACCTTCCTGAAACCTTCCTTTTATTGTAACTAATAAGGAAAGGAAATACTTTGAAAGGAGATGCTGAGCAGACTTTTGCCAGCCTGCATTTTTGGGCACTCTGCTCTTCATCCTTTTATACAAACACAAACCACGCTCCCAGCTGTCTGTGCTGCCCAAGGCCACGTCTACCTGGAATGGGAAACAGAGGCAGCTTTGGCTGTGCTGCAGGAGGCATGTTCATTGGCCTCTTGCTGGAAGAGGCATCGCTAGCCTCCTCCTGCTTTGGGGCCCCTGCTCCAAGGGGAGGCAGGGGACGCCTCTGCGGGCCTGTTTGCGGGCTGCTGAGATGAACATACAGGGACGCAGCTTCATGGGAGCCTGGAAACAGCAGCAACCTCAATTAGCTTGGGCTTTAATTTCCTGAGGAAGAAAATAGGCTGCTGGGTAGTAGAAATAATCAAGGCCTTCTGAAGGAACCTTGTAACGTCCCTTCCTTACCTTCCTGTTCACACGGAGCTCCACCTAATGATGCGTTCTGTTTGGGCCAAATGGGCTCACAGTGCGTGTTAATGGACTCCCTGAATAGTGAATGGTCTAAAAGTAGAGTTTTATGACCTGCACGGATAGCAGCAGTTACAAAACCTGTATTTGGAGAGAGTGTGGGATATAATGCTTCCTGAAGGCAGCAGAAGGTGGTGGTGAGGAGGTATTTATGTATGCAGCAGTCTTGCAGCTTGTCAGGCAGGATTTAACTTGGGGTCAGAAAACATTTCGTACAGAGACTTGTACATTGGAAGAAAGCTTTCGTGTCTGCTCCTTATGACAAAAAAGATGTTTAGAAACCTCTGCTAGACCTGCACAAGATATACATGTATTACACAACATTTATCATGAGTGACTTGTGTGCCAGTCGTGCTTAATTACTCGCCTTCAGTCCTTACTGCACTTCAGAAGATGTACATCCTGTTCCCCATTCATCAGGCATGCCAGGACCTGGTTTGTCTGCTTCTGAGGCACCATGATGGAAAACTATAGCTGATTGGAAATGGATTCACTGGATAACTGCTAGGCTTGTTTTTGCAGTAGCAGCTCTTCATTTTTAACCATAGATAAAGCTCCTGGAGGGGGGGGGAAATACCTCTGAAGGCAGTGGTGGGGTGCGTTAGCAGGAATGGCAGCGTTGTCCTGGCTGTGCTTTCTGTGCCTTTGGCTTTTCTGTGTGGTGACATTGCTTGGTAGCCAGGCAGCCTGTGAGTTTGGGATGGCCTTGGTGCAGCCAGGGAGGTGTGCCAACAGGACGTGATGCAGTGGGAGTGAGTTAGCTGGTGTGGGAGCCAGGGCACCGGCGTTCAGCAGGGATGGACACTTGAGTAAATTATTTACACGGATGGTGTTTTGAAAGCTTCAGGGTCAGTGGTGTTTCCTGAAACAACTGCAGTACAGTTTTGCTTTAAGGGAAATTGTCTTCACTCGTGATGCCCAGGCTGGTGCAACTTGGGCAGAGCACGTTCAGGGTCAGCTCTGCTCCCCATAGGCAGTGCTCCGTCAGGCTGGGCTCTGGGCTCTGCCTGGTGGGCAGGCAGCTGGCTGGGATCTGACAGCTTCCCAACTTCCTAATGACAGTCTCATTTCCAAAGAAAACCAAGTTTTTGGGTCTCAGGCAGCCAGCTCGTTTGGTTGTGCTTCCAACTGGCTTCGTCCAAAGCGAGATGCAAAACTTGAAGAATTAAAATCTCAGCTGCTCCAGGCTGTGCCAAATAGCTGATCCCGAGTGGGTAGAAGTGCCAGCCAATGTCATCTCTTATGTGCTTTTGTGCATTTTCTTTAATAATTGTCAGCTTTGGTTCATCAAAAATAATTTTACACTTGGCTTCCGTGATTTTTAATTAGTATTTATCATGTAAAACTATAGCCAGGGAGCTCTGAACACTTTGAACAGGAAGCACCAGTAAGTGGTAAACAGCCAGTTTGTCCACAAATACCTCTCTGCTTTTGTATATGTTTGTTTTCCTAAGTTGTAATTACCAGGCTTAGTGCTAAATTGTTCTGCTTCGTAGCTCCTCTGGCATCAATAATTTTTTCTATATTTTTCACCTCTCCTGAGAACTCTATTTTTAATGGTTAATTTAAAGGAAACCTCTTGCGTATTATAGTATGCATTCTGATCAGTACACCTAATTGTGAAGAGTACATTGCTTTAAATGTACAAATGTTGGGTTGCTTTAAGTGTACAGCCTGTCTGTACCCACGAGCACAAGCTTTAAAAGTGCCAGTTGTCATGTCAGAGTGTATTCCATACAGGGTAAGAAGTAGTGGTGACGAGGGGGGCTGGCAGGGAAGCATGCCTGGTTTGCTCCTGTGGGGAGTCACAGAGTGTCAGAGCAGGTTTGTTACCTGGAAGTCATTTTCTTCAGTGTGCTGATGGCTCAGTGATGTAATTAGCCAGCTTTGATGTTTCAAAGGAAGTGCTTTCCATAACATCTTTCTAGTCTTTGTGGAATGTTTTGCTTTCCTCCAAGCACGCTGGTGTGAGCCACCTTCTTTTCGGCCCTCTTCAGTGTGTCCATTCGCAGGGCCCTTCCTCAAAAGAGATGCTACAGGTTAAAGCTTTCCCTGCAAGAGTTCTTGTAGGGCTGCAGGACGTGTCCCAGTGACAGACACACAGGGAAGCTGTTACAAACATCCATGAAATAAATGGAGGGAGCTGTATGTGTGGGAAGCTGCTGTGGTCTGCCTGCGTCCTCCTCTCAGTTTGGTTGACTGGTTCAGCAGTCAGGTCTGGAAGGAAGGATTTCTACCTTAGCACCACCCTTCATTTGCCTGGCAATGCAAGCAGGTGTGACTGCAGGGCCGAGCCTCCTGCTGGAAACTGGTGTGGGTTTCTCCAAGAAGGCTGTGGTCTGTGCATGGAAATTCCATGGGAGGTGGAGGGAAGGTAGAAGAAGACCCATCAATCTTACATGAACAATTCCAGCTTCTTAATCAGGCGCTCTCTAGAGAGGTGCTATTTCCATCTTGATCCACCTGTAACCAAATGGTTTGCCAACATCAGATGATTTTAAGGACTTCCAGCTGGGAAAACCTCCCACCTTTTCTCCTGAATCAGCAACCAATCAAATGTTTTCATTTCAGCCAGGTTGATGTAAGACATGGTACAGATGAGGGCATGGTGAGTACTAAGCCCAGCTGTCCCCAGAGCTGCTGTGGGCATTTGTTTTGGGGTGGTTGCTCTTTTATTCCTCCTTTGGGCTCTAAACAAGAAGTGCTGCTTTGAGGAGGAGGTTGAATCACCTGGGCCCAGAATTGCAGAAACCCATGCATCTGCATCACCTCATTTCCATGTGGGTGTAGGAAGCACATAGGGCCTGGCTTGGTTCAGTGGGTTCCTTCTGCTTCTGTCTCTGCAAATGTGGCACTGTGCTCAGCTGCCTATGTTAGCTGTGTTGTAAAGGTGAGGATATCTTGTTTTGTAGTGTTTTGTTTAACACCTGATAACCAGTGCATTTTCCACAAAATGTGCATTCAATAATAGCTGCAGTTGAAATGATAACAGAGCTTGTTTTGGAAAGTTACCTTAATTGCTTGACCCTGGCCTCACTTAACTGACCCTTTCACAACCTCCCATTCTTTTGGTTGTTGAGCCTTGGAGCATAAATAATAAGTTGTGCAGCATTTATTTAGCAGATGATTGAGTTATTGTTGTTTGGCCATCCTCTGCTCTGTAAATATTAACTTCCTGGTGTTGTGTTTAAATCTAGGTATGTATTTTTGTCTCATAGGAAGCAAGAACAGAATCTATTGCCAGACCTTTGGAGATAAACGAAGCTGAGAAGATGATGAAAGTTGCCATTGAATGTGTGCTGGTAAGCAAATTGATATTTATTTTATTGCAGAATTATCCTTCCTCCCTTCTGCTGGGCCGAGTAATGTTCCACCTGGATACCTAACAGGTAATGTGGAACTTCTGTTCAGGGCTGATGTGGGTACTGGTCTTTAGGTGACATTAGATGTGTAAACACAAAGTAATCAAGGCAGAGGTTGGTGTGTGATGATGCTTTGTGTCATGGTGATGAGGAGTCACTGATCATCTTGGTGGTTTATTGGTAAATAAGTCCTGTTCAAAGTGAACAAACCTGTTAAATGTAACTGGTAGTTTCTTGGCAGAGTGGAAGAGGTGTCTGCACAGTGAGGATTGCGAGCTGGCACTCAGAAATCACAGCCTAGAGCAGCACAGATGTGCTGTGTTAGCAGCATCTAGAGGAATGTGCTAGAAGCAGCCCTGCTGCTAGCTTGTTGAACTGTATGGCTTTGTTGGTTTCACATGTTGATTCGTTCCTCCAGCTGGTGACTGCTGACAAACCCTTCATGTTGCAGTCATCAGCTGCACTGAAGGACATCTTCCCTTTTGGGAGAAAAGGAAAGCCCCTTCTGCATTTCAGTCATGTTCCCTGCCTCTGTCAAGGGCTCAGCAGCAGCTTCAGAAGCTCTAGAGGAATGATTGACTTCACCAGCACAGGAGTTGACGTCGTTGTTTAAACCACTTATTAGGATCACAAGATCACAAGGAGCTACAAGGAATATACTTGAAACTCAGATTGTGTTGGTACCCCTGGAGCTGTGAAGCTGGGCTCTGCAAGCAGGATAGCTGAACTGGGAAGGGGATGAGAAGAGCAGGTGCTGTGCTGACTGGGGCATGGCTGGGCATCATTGTGCTTCTAGTTTCACAGGTGCCTTGGTCTGACCTCGACTCTGGAGTGCTGTTCTTGCTCCAGTGCTTGGGCTCTGTATCTCTGGGCCAGTAGCTGCCCTGCTAGGCACTGTGCAAGTATAGTCGTTAATTAAATTCTAGTGAATACTGCAAGTTATTTAGCTGCAAACTGTATCCTATCCAGTTCTGTAATTACAAGGCATGGAGTTCCATGTTTAAAAAGCCAGTGTATAAGCAGTAGATGCTTCAGGCAATCTTTCCTTATATTTCTCTTCCTACTTGCAGTCCATATGAACTCTAAATGTTAATGTGCATTGATATTCTAGGCAGTAGTGCTAATAAACTAAAAGGAAAATATTAGAGCAATTGGCTTCTTGAGAATATCAATGTAGCACATAGCTCAGCTGGTTTAGTTCTGGAGCAGTCACTGAAATGACTTATTGTAGCTGAACAGCACATAGCAATTACTGCTAGAGCTTCAGCAGATGTGAAGTCCTCTGTCCCCCACACTCATCACAGTTCCTAGGGCAGGAGCACACTGAAGGTACTCGTTTGTTTGGGCAGGCTGAAGTATTCCCACTTTCCCCTCCTTATTCCTGTAATGTGTTACAGTGTTTGGGATGCTTCCTGGATTTTGAAAAGATGGGTACAGCAGGACTCAGGGAAGGGTGAAGGCAATGGGATAGACTGACTGCTTTTCTTAAAGTGACTTTTATCAGGAAGGGTAAAAAACAAACAAACAAACAAAAAAAACACATTGACAGAATCCCAAAATCTCACTAAAATGGTACCAAGAAATAAATGCATTTCTCTTCCATGTTTATTCAGATGCTTACCTGTTGTGTCCTGTCAGATTTTGTGAGGAGGGCATCGTTCCTTCCTTTTGGATGAAAAGGAAAAAGTTAAAGCCCAGGACAGCTGTGTTTCTGGGTGCTGTTTTTTTTTTTCTTTCTTTAAGAATGTTAGGAGAATAAAGCAGGTATTCTAATTAGTAAATGTTCAGATAGTTCATTATCCTGACCACAAAAAAAAAAGTCATTGCTTTGCTGGTTTATCTTCTACCTCATTGTTATAAAGTTATTTGAAAGCATGCAGTAAGAAAGAATACAGATGAGTGTGTGAAAGATAATTGTGCTTATTCCAGTGCAGACCTTGGTTCACCATCCTTCTCTTTTAGGAAGAGGTCCAAAAGACTAAGGACATGTTGAGTAATGTGGCTTTGGACGAAGCCAATTTGGAAGCCAAGATTGAAAAAAGGAAATTGGAGCTGGAAAGAAGCCAGAAGAGGCTGCAGACCCTGCAGAGCGTTCGGTAACGGTTACAACTGAGCATCTACTGCGTGCATGAGCACTGGCATGAGATGCTGTGTGCATTCTCAGTGCTTCAAGCAGCAAGGAGTGAAGTCTGTAATGAGACCGAGATGGTGCCATGTGGAAAAGATTTTTGTCATTTGTTGTGCTTAATCTAGATTGTAATTATTTTATTTTTTTTTTTTTCAGTTTCTTTGTATTTGAAATCAGATTATCAGGGCTCCTAATAACCCCAGGGTATTATTTGGGGGCAACTTACTTGCTGCTTGAACTGCACACAGCAATGGCCAGGTAGCATTTCATTTTTATGCTGTCTTTGAGCATAAATTGTGCCAGGTGGTTCTGCTGAAGGTGACATATTCCCTGTTCCCAGAGGCTTCTGACATTCCCAGCCACCAAGGGAAGTTGATATTCTTGTTGGGATATGTTCCTCTGGGCAATGACACAGCCTGCCATAAAATCAAAGTGTTCAGATTCACCATTTGGGTTGATTCCACACCCCTTTGGTTAAATGTGAAAGATCGTTCTCTGTTTCTGAGAAGAAAAGAGAAATTATAAATAAGAAAAAAATGAGTGGTGGAAAGAATAACAGTGGATTCATACTCATGTTTTGATCTGTAACACTTCAGTGGAAGTATGTTGGGTAGATGGGAAGCATCAAACAGCAGAAGCATTCTGTGGGGTGCAGCTGTGATAAAGCATATCATCAGTGCCAGCACTAGTTATGCTTCTAATGACACAGCATAGCTTTGCAGATATGTCTCCAATGAAGAAGTGGCTTCCCAGCCACACGACAAGCACACCTGTTGGAGTTATGGAACAGGAGGGTGATGTGTTTGGAAAGAAGTGGTGGTGGATACATATTGACCTTTCATTTGCTATGTAAAATTTTCACAGGATAGGATAATTTCCTTCCTCTTATGCTTTTAGTCTTGAAGTAGTGTGTAACCTTAAAAAGAGAAGGTCCTTTTAGATTGGTTTTGTAGACGTGGAAAAACAGCTGTGAAAATGAGAATGCTGTTTCAGAACTCTTCATGTCCAGGTCTGTATTTCTCTGAGTAGCTTGTTCTTGTTGTCTCCAGTCCTGCCTTTATGGATGAATATGAGAAGATTGAAGAGCAACTGCAGAAGCAATACACCAGCTACCTAGAAAAATTCCATAACCTAACCTACCTGGAGCAGCTCCTGGACGATCAACGTCGGTCTGAGCAGGAGATGTTTGAGGTAAAACAGCTTAGAAATGCTCAGCAAGACTCTGTGTTCTCTGGTCCTTGGCCATATGGCAGAAAATGCTGTAATACCTGTTACTTGTTGTAGAACCAGCTCTGAATGACTGGCAGTTCACTGACGTGCAGCAGTGACAGCTCTCAGACATGATACACCTTTGCTTTTTCAGTTGGTGAAGTTAAACCAGTGTAATGATGCTTCTTTCCAGTCTCATTTCCCTTGATTCTTTCAAATGTCATTTTTTGATCATAGAATCCTAGAATGGCCTTGGTTGCACAGGAGCACAATGCTCACCCAGCTCCAACCCCTGCTGTGTGCAGGTCTCCAACCAGCAGCCCAGGCTGCCCAGAGCCACATCCAGCCTGGCCTTGAATGCCTGCAGGGATGGGGCATCCACAGCCTCCTTGGGCAGCCTGTGCCAGTGCCTCACCACCCTCTGGGTGAAAGGTTGATTGTGAAGAATATTTTCAGTATTCCTCATTTTCCATTTGCTGTGCTCACCCTGTGTGCTAAGAGTTCTTAAACACTTGTTTTTATTGTCTGCCAACGACTGAAGTGTAAGGGTTTGTTAGCAGTAAGACTTTGGTTTTGTCACAGTTGTTGTCTTCAATGAAAACATAGCAAAAGTATCACTGAGAAGATGGGTTAAGTTGGAATCCTCTCTCACAGAGACTTCTTGTTCATAACACTTCTCTTTTTGCGTTGATCTGCTGAGTTGTATCGGCTCAGTGTGATTCTCAGTAGAAAATACACATCTCTGTCTCATCCTACTTGATGCTTTCCTTTCCTTTGGGTGTTCGTTGGACTGCAGCACTTCCAGCCAGCCTTTCATTCAGCTTCTGCAGGTTCATGTTTTACTGATGTTGGGTTTTCTTCTAGCAGCCTTTACTCAGCACGTTTTCTGTTTGCACTGAAGAGAGATTTCAGTGAATGATCTCCCCTTGGGCCTTAGTATTGGTGGGTGTGCTGTGCTTTGTTTAAGTGAACCAGTGCTTCCACTTCTTGGCTTTTCCTAGTGCAGATCATTACTTATGTTGTCAACACAACTCACCCTTGTTCCTGGCAGAAATAAGGGGGAGCTGTGCACGTTCCTTGTGTCTGCCTGTGGCTGCACTTTTCGCTGTGGCCGTGTCTCTGTGTGCCTATTGATTTGAAAACAAACAAGCAGCCAATAAACCTTAAATAATTGGCCCTCAATATTCATACTTGCATTGAGCTATAGTAAAATGCTGTGACCTGTATTCAGGCTGGAAATAAGGTATGGTGACTTTATAGTCCCTCTTCTGCTTCAGTCTGTCTCTGCACAGCACAAAGTGCAGAGCGCCTCACCCCCGGGCTTCAGACCTTTAGGCAGGAAGAGTGAAATATAGTCATTTCCATTGCCTCTTGGACACAGGAAAAGCAGCATACTGTAGTTTGTTCAGAAGGATCAAATCTTTTTGCTGCATTTTTGCCTGAGGAGAAAGTAAACCTTTATTTTAAGATACTTGTTAATCGCTGCCGACCAATTTCCCATTAATCTCCCCTTTTGTAAGCTATCTCTGTAGATGCTACTCTGCATTTCTAACCTATAGTTAGCTTAATGTTTTCACATCTTGTTTAATAGTGCTCTAGTTCTTCCCTGTATCTTTTGCCAAAAAAAAAAAAAAGGCCTCTATTAAATCCTAATCTTGAAATTAAACCTAAAATCTGATTATTTTTTTCCCTTCTGTTCAAATGTCGCTGAGACTTAATACCAAAAGTAGAAATGTTTTGAATGTGAGTACCTGGCACTGCTTATAAATTCATGCACAGAAGTTAGTAATGACTTGGCTTACAGCTCTTGGGAGGGTTTTTATTAAAAGATAATAAGATGAGGGAAAAGCCTTTGTCATTCAGGAGTGCTCCTGTGATCAGAATCTGAAGAGCTCTTTTCTTTTACCTTTGCTCATTCCTTCTGGGAGACACCGAGAGAATCCACCCGTATACTTTGGCTTTTCATCCACGACAGTAAGCAGTCAGCAATACATCAACATTGTCTAGAATTAGGCTGTGACAAAAAGATGTGGATTTTAAGCCTACTTCTGTCACTTGTTATGTGTGGTATGTATTAGCAAGCATCAGAGCTGGCAACATCTTTAATTCACATGTGCTTGATGTTAAAATACCATTTGGTCTTCTGCATTTGGAATGTTCTTGCCCTGACTGGAGGCCTGCACTGGATTGTTTCGTTCTGTGATCTCAAGTGATAAAGTTACCTGTGCTTAAAGCATCTTTAAAATGCACTGTGTTGGCTGCAACCAGCATGGAGTTCGCCTCTCAAGTCTAATTCTATAGCTTGATCCTAATTCTGGAAGGAGCCTGAGGTTATCTCAATTCACTGCTCCTATATTAGTCTGTTAAATTGTTTCCTTAGGGAGTGTTTGGGAATACCAAAAAAGAAGAAGAAAAAAAAAAGGAAGAAGAAAGTAGCATAGAGAGCAAGAATGGAAGGCTGGAGTATCTAAAATATATAGAATATTTAAAGGCTCCAAATGTCTCCCTGTGGGCAGCAATCCAGTGATTAGTCTCTTGCCAACCTGGAACCATCATGGCATCTCTCAGTCTTGGTCTGCTTTTCAGGTAGTGTTTCCTCACTTTTGGCAGCAAGGTCATGAAGCAGAACAGTGGGTGCCTTATTACAAGCTTGAACGTAAGCAGTTTGCCCCAAACGGATGCTGCGTGCTGGCTTTGAGATTATCATCTCTGTATCATTTTCAGAATCAACAGAGGAAAAATAACAAGGATAATTGCATTTAATCTGTTTCAATATGCAGCCTCTTGAGCTGTTAAACACACTGGAAGTTGTGTTGATTTTTTCTTTTTTCAGTTGTATTTGTCTTTTGTTCCACCAAACAAATCTTAATTATCTTCTGTAGTGGAAGTGAGAGTCAACTCTTTTATCACTGCCATGCATTTTGTTAAATAGCTTGCTAGGAAAAAGCAAGGGCAATGTAATTAGATTAAACCAGCACTCTAGGTGCTGTTCAGTACTGAGAACTGATTTCTGGACCCCTTTCTTTGACTCCCTGAATGTTTTTGAGAGGAACTTCTATTCTGATTGAGAGGCCATTGCTGAATAATGAGACTAATCTTCAGTGTCCTTAGCCTCAAAGCTGTTTTGGTACCCTGCTGATGATGCACAGCTAATGACATAGGCCAGAGTGCATTTCCTAATTAGAAAAGTGATTTAAAGATTGTACCCAAGCACACAATTTTAATTAAGTGACATTGAGCAGCTGAAACAGCGTGGCCTTTCCAAACCACGGTGCTGGCTCTCTGTGTGGGTTTCTTTGGTTTGTTCTTTCAAGTGGTGAATGTATGGCTGCACGGAGAGCTGCACGCTGCAATCTGTGCTGTTGTGGTGTTGAGCTTCATATAACCAAAGGATGGTTTGGGTCAGAAGGAACCCTTAAAATCATCTCATTCCAGCCCCTGCTGTTGGCTGGGACACCTCCCTCTGGACCAGGCTGCTCACAGCCCCATCCAACCTGGACATTCCCATCCCTTTTCCAGCCCAGTGTCTGCAGTAACACGGAGCACTGCCTGGAGGACAGCTGGCAGACATCTCCTGCCAAGCACTGCGCTGAGAAACATCCCTCAGCATTAGGAGAATCTTGAAGGCTTGCTGTTGAATCTCAGCCAAATGAATTGGCAGAACTGAACAGTTAATTGATGATGAAATTACCACCTGCAGAGTCCCTGCCTGTTTGTTGTGGAAACACTTTGAAACATATGAGAAACCTGGAATTATGTCTGCCCTCCACTCTTGCTCGTGGCACGTCGGAAGTCCTAACATGACTCCTCCTTTGGGTGAATTTCTCATATGTATTGACAAACTGTCATGCACTATTTATTATTGGATCCAAGGAATTTAAATAAGGGCATTTTGTCTTTGTGGTTTCCTTCCCCTCTTTTTTCATTTTCAATCACCTCCTTTATTCTGTTCTCTTGTGCTGCTCACGCTGTTAATCCATCTTCTTGCAGAAGCCTGGATTTATGTGCCACGTCTTCTTGAAGATTTGTTCTTATTTTTCTACTATGTAAAAAGAGTCGGTGCAGTTCGGTAGCTTTTACCCCATTTTTATGATGAAATTGGTTCTGATGTTAGACATTAAAGTTATTGGAACTTTGGCTGCTATAAAATTCCAAGTTTATGGGGTTTTCAGATTTGTGGGCTGAGTTTTTCTACAGACTGTAATGGATGCCCGTCCTTTAAAGGGCAACGCAGGCTAATCCAGTTAAAAAGACTTTTTTGGAACTAGTTTGTGTAGTGCCAAAATAACTTGGCAATATCCTGTAGCATTTGCTGGCCTTGTTTTGCTAGGTGGAATTTATTCTTTCTTGTTCTTCTCAGAGGACATTGCTGAAGTGCTTTCTTCTCCTTCAGCTGCTTCCTCGTAGGGTGTTTTAAGACTGCTTCTATGATGGCACTGAAATCTCAACTAAGAAATACAATGGAATGGTGGACAAAGATGTTCTAAGCCACTCAGTCCTTCTCTCTGGTTTGAGGTGGCTGAAACCCATTTTGTTTTCATCATTCTGCTGAGTAAGCAGTAAGCAGTGCATCGTGATGAAAGTTTGAGCAAGGGAAAAGACAAACACACAAATGCAGTGTTGTGAGTTTCTCTTTGCAACCCACCCTGCCCAAATAAAGCCCCTTCTGCATTGACCTAATGCTTTCCTATCAGAGCTCTGTGCCTGAAGCAGCTGTTTTGTTCTGAGTATGTACACAAAGGGCTACCCAACTTCTGCTGCACTCTGAGATAAGCTTGGGTTCTGCTGCTTTTTATATCTTTTGCATTGTACTGTCCCATTTGAAATACTAACATTCCCATTGCAATGACTGCTTTCTGAAATGGCCAGGCAGGAGTTTAATATGAAAAGTGGTTGGTTACAGACTTTAATCTTCTAATGTACACTTGAATTATGACTGCTTGGTAGCATTTTTATAGGTACCAGGAGAGCAGTCCTGGTCC